CGCAACCGTTACCCTTTGTGGGTTGAAGTCTCCATCAACGTGGATGTAGGATAGCACCACCTATCCGAACCACGGGAAAAACATCCATGTCTCCAATTGCGTTTGATTTCTCCAAACCCTTCCCTTTACATTCTTGCAAGTTGCATGCTTTACATTCCGCTGCTCATATACTCTTTGCATGCTTGCTTGATATGTATTGTGTGTGTTGAAATTGTGCTTAAACTCTACTTAAACCGAAAAAGCTTAAAAATTGCAACTTTAGCATTATGTGTCTAATCACCTCCCTCTAGACACATCTACTTCTAGATCCTACACCTTTCCCTGTAGTATGACCCTGGCTGACGAGGGCCATGTCGTGGGTCGCATGGCTACAGTTCCACGTCTGGCAGGTGGGTGACCGCTTGGTCAGCTTGCACTGTAGCCACACTCCTCTGGGATTTGGGGGAGTGGGTGGCCCTGTAGCCATGCCCATCTTGTCGTAGTGGTTGAGTGCATACACCGATGGCAGGAGGGGCTGTCTGCTTGGAGCCGTCCTCCCCTGAAGCCGCCTTCTAACAGCGCGCTGTCTTCTGGTAGCCGGCTGCTTGGGCCTAGCCGGCCCAAGAAGCCGGGCGCGAGTCCGGAAGGTGTGAGGGGCGTTGCTAGCTCCGATGTCTTGAAATGCTAAGGGGTATGGATGAGGCTACCCGTGGTCAATCCCCACGACAATTGGAGTTTCTGTGGGAGTTGTTATTCTCCGGAGGTGACCGTGTCGGTCGAGACGCGGCCTTGGTGATTAGTCTAGGACATGCCCTTTTGCTTTGTAGTTGTCTTGTCGGTGGCTGTCCTCGGACATTCCATGTTGTGGAGTTCGTACTGCATTTGTTGTTAAAGCAAGTTGTAGTCGTCTTGTAATCAAATTCTGCCTTCTACGAAAATATGCTATCTCTTTGACTTACTCTTGAAAAAAAATATTATACAACTCATATACTATTAATCTTATCAATAGTCAAAGATAATCTTAGAAACACATTAGACTATGTATATATATGGATGGAGGGAGTAGCATCATGGTCGAATATCTCCTATGAACCTCAAACCACAAGAAGTGCACGCATCTCTAGCCACCATCTCAACTTGTCTTTCTCAACGCGATAAATCGCGTGTGGACATGCAGCCACGCGAGGTCGTTATCATCACCACTTCTTTCCACATGATTTGTGTTACTTCAATACATCAATATCGTATAACATTTTTTGGCCAGCATACACTAATTGGTATAGTTCTCGTATTGCATCTGCGCCCCAATAAATGGCTGACATGGCAGGATCACGCATTGAAACGATGGGCGCGTAGATTAGAATTGATTACACGACAGTGAGACATAGCTCCATGGCACGAGAGAGCTATTTGCACCAAGCTGTCAACCAAACTAATAATAGGTCATGATGCATTGGCTTAACTAAACAAACATGTTATTAATCAGGTGGTGGTCATTGCAAGCTACTGTTTTGTACTAGGATCTCAACCAGCCTAGGAAAGGTCTCTCCAGAGTAGTGAATATGAAAGAACATCTAACCTTTCGCTGTCGCTGGAACTTGATGCCATGGCGAGCCTTTTTCTCGCAACACCGCGTTAAAGACGTGGGTACAGTGTTTTTTCTTCTTCTTCTGTGGGTACAGTGTATTAGCAACAGACTGCTAAGTGTTAAGTACATTGGAAGCCTACACACCGGCCATAATCACACCAGCTCTCTCCACCCAGCATAGTTCAATTTGGAGTATTTTAGTTTCATCACATGTTTCAGACTACTGATTTACAACTAAAATCCTTACATATACGAATTTCTTACCCAAAAATAATCAGTTGAACATCATTCTTCACACTAGTTAACTCGAATCATGAAAAAAGTCAGTGCGCCACTAAATAAAAAAATCAGGCAAGAATTTATTGCAAAGTAAAAATATGTGTACATGACCTATAGAGAATATTGATATCTCACCGATATGAGTGAATGAGTTTTTATTTCACTGCTTTGGTTGATTGCAAATCTGCTCTATCTATTACAGTAGTATTGTATTAGTCGATAAATTAGGGCTAATCGTATGAAAGGTCTATTTAATCAATGCGCTAGTTATTAGCTATGTACCAATAATTAAGGCTAATTACAGTATACCATTCAGTTTGTCTTGGAACGGTCATTATGAATAAAGCTTGTTATGTCAGCATTTTATTTATTCATCTGCCTATTGATGAGTGACATATAAAACAAGTGCCATAAAATGGGTGGTGTAACGCCCCGGACACACCCACCGGTGGTCGTTGCTCCTAACGGGATCTAGACTGGTCAATACTAGTCTTTTCTGCACACTTTTTCCTCACTCGTGCGCACCCGGGAGCAACTTCCCGGTCGGTCACCCATCCTGCCACTACTTCAAGCTGAGCATGCTTAACTTTGAAGTTCTGTCCGAATGGGCTCCCGGAAAAGAAGGAATTCCTTATTGATATGAGTAGTCTATCATCTCTAAAAAGCCAGGCCATCACATACACCTCCACTCAGAGGAACTGACGTCCTCGTCGGGCCACAGGAACATTCCCTCTTGGCACATACGTCTGTGCATCCAGTCTGATACATGTGTCATGCCGTGTGCCACGACGGGTCACAAATTTCATGAACAACATGATCGTGCATCTGTCCGCAACCATCCGTGTAACCGCGAGGGTCGGCTCTAATACCAACTTGTAACGCCCCGGACACACCCGCCGGTGGTCGTTACTCCTAGCGGGATCTAGACTGGCCCCACAGATCAATACTAGTCTTTTCTGCGCACTTTGTCCTCACTCGTGCGCACCTGGGAGCAACTTCGCGGTCGGTCACCCATCGTGCCACTACTCCAAGCTAAGCACGCTTAACTTTGGAGTTCTGTCCGAATGGGCTCCCGGAAAAGAAGGAATTCCTTATTGATATGAGTAGTCTATCATCCCTAATAAGTCAGGCCATCACAGTGGTGTGCACGCATTGATACAAGTCTGCAACGTAATGAACACATTGCACGCATTTGTTAGCCATGATGAGCCAGGGACCATGAGACTTAGTATTCACATTTGTATTCACAGCCGTATAGCCCATGTCTGTCACATATTGAAAATAACGCTATATTAAATACAGATCTCAAAGCTCAAACATACAGAATGGATATGCTCCTCGCGTGGAACCATGTCCCAAAAATCCGCGTCGCTTATGTTGCAACTACAAACTAAAGCAATGCAAAGAACCCCCTGAAAAACTTCATCAACTGACGAAGAGGATCGGAAATGGTAAAGTATCCAAATCCAAGGAGACAATGGATAATTGCAAACTAAACAATGCAAAGAACCCATAAAAGAAACTTCGTCAACTAATGAAGAGGGTCGAAAATGCGATAAATCACAAGTGAACATAATGCCACGCGAGGAGGAAATCGACACCGTTCGCTCCCAAGTGATTCGTGCACTTATTATACAACAAGCTTGTATATTGATTTGTCGGCAGTGTATCAGTGTGTTATAGTTTATGTATTAGCTATGCCATCGCAATCATATGTCCCACAATTCAGTCGTATGCAATAAAGTCAGACACATTGAATCGCTCATCAATTACAATGGCTACCTGTTGTGAGCCAACGTCACCCTGTACCCACACCCTGCAAATCCACCTGCCCAGCTCATAGCTCCTCCCCACTCATTTCATCATCTTCCTCTTCCCCTTAGCCATTCTCTTTTGTTTGGGCAACTTTGGGGCGTTGTGCATGGTTCTTATCCACCTGCACTGAGTATGGTGAGGATAGACTAGTTTGTTCTACCTCATGATCCAAGGCAACAGGACAAGATTCATTTCATACATGTACCCGAACCTAGTGTGTACATAGAATAGCTGGCCTGGAACAAAACAGGAAGCAGCTCATACACTACACTTGCACTTAAACTGTTGTTATTTACTGCTTCCCTAGCCTACCTTGATTGGGATAACAGACAACAGAACATTGTATGGTGAAACTCCACCGATTAAATGATGCAGATGCATGCTATTGGTGAATTAATATTCTGCCAGTGCATTGAAAATGCATGCACCCTCCTTAATGCTTGACACAGACCGTAGCATCAATATTATAAAACAATAAACATCTCAGATGAACTTTATAGTTGGATTAGCATAAAAACTTGTATGAAATGGATTGCTTAAGCATTTTTAAGTCGGAATGGTAATTTTCGTAACATAATTTCATTGACAGCCTATTAAAAAATATCTATTTTGAAACATTTTCAAAAATATATTTCAAAAAAACATATGTCTTAGTTAATGTTCTTCGAAATTCATTTTCTTACAAATCTTGAAGAGTCAAAAAAATAACATGAAATTATTTTTCTCATTCAACTTGCAATTCATATTTCAATGCAAATTTATAAAAATCATACCACTGATGAGCAAGTGATTAAGTGAATACTAACAATGCGTGTCACAGAAAAGAAAACATGCATCAAATTAAAACACTCTAACATAACAAAAGTAAAATTTCATCATAATCACGTTAGACCTCACCGGCATTTCACACCAGCCATCTTAAATGGTCACATCAAGATGCTGCCTCTCCCCAACCCAGCAACAAAGAGAAGTTAATGAGTAAAGGTTTGGTCGTACTATCCAATTCATTTAAGATGCCCAGCTACGAACTAATATACACATATTTGCTGAATTACCTACTATGACGTTCATGTATTCATTTAATCACTATATTAAGTGCTAATCTCACAGCATGCATGAACTGTCGAGATTTCATCTCACATGGCACCATGTCCCAAAAATTCAGGTCGCTCTCAACGGCCCTATAGAAAACAAAGTAGATATTATCCCTACCATTCGACTCACACAGCCACACCCTTTCCTCCAACCTCAAGAAAATAATCTCCTGGACCTGGACACACCAACAGAACCTCACCCTCGTTCGGACATACTCCACCCCACTAACTGAGCTTCGCCCGCAATGGCCACCCTTGTCAAGCACCTCATCCTGTGCTCCAGCACTACCACATCGTCCTCGGCTTCTCCGTCCCCGTCGAACCGTCGCCCGCCGTCGTCTCCGGATGGCGCCGACAAGCGCGCCCACTTGACGCAGTCCTCCACGCGCCGGCTCGCAGTCGCCGCGTCAACGGCAATGGTCGCAACGGCGGCACTTTCTGCCCGGCGACCCGCGGCGCCGCCCCCAGCCATGGCCGCGGAGGCGGCCGCGTTGCGGGCACCGGCGCCCCCGGGAACCGTGCCGAGGTGGGGCACGAGGTCCTACGTCAGAGAGAGGTTCTTCGAGCCCGGGCTGACCACGGAGGAGGCCGCGGCGCGCATCCGGCAAACGGCGGAGGGAATGCGGACGCTTCGGCCAATGCTGGAGACCATGTCGTGGAAGTACGTACTGTTCTACGTGCGGCTCAAGTCCAAGTACCTCGACCTCGACCTCACCACCGCCATGGCCGGTGTCCCCGAGCCGCGCCGCCCCGAGTACGTCCTCGTCGCTAACGAGCTCGTCGACAATATGACCGAGGTTAGAACCTTTTTTTTCTTGACGTTGAACTTCTGCGCAACAGTTTATTTGTTAATTTTCTGGATAGATACTGTATTTCATTCTGATGAAGTTGCCGTGCAGTTCGACCGGTTTGTGCGGACTCCCAAGGTGTACGAGTCGTACCTCTACTATGAGAAGACCCTGAAGTCGCTGGATGACGTGGCAGAGTTCCTTGGATGATCGTATATACTGTGTTCGTAGGTCTAGGAATGTATTCCCGTCGACGCCTTCCGTCATGTGTCAATATTTACTGATATACCATAAATATGATGATATGAATTGCCATATTGCTTCAACAATTATGCATATACTAGATGCGCCTTTCGGTCCCTAATAACTCCATTAAAGTGGGAGGTAGTTCCTCATGGCAATGACGCTTTCCTGGTTGCTTCCCATTCTATACAGGATTTTTTTTTAAAGAAAAAGCATAGGTCCAACTTTATAGATAAAGCCATTAGGCAGGGTACGAAACAGAGCAGGCAACCAACGAAACAGTAAACCATAGCATCAAGGCCAACAACCTCGGCACGCAGACTAACACAGGCACGGCACGCACGCCAAAAAAGCAACAAACTAACAGGAACGAGAAGGGCATTTAGGAATGAGCCCGACCATCAGGATTTTGCGGAGAGGGGGAGACGGCAGAAGCTCGAACTTTCTCGATCAGCACCTTGAGAGCATCCCAATCGGCAACCCTAGTCAATGATCTCCACTGCTGCAAGAACATACACATTTTAAATAGACAGTCAGTGGGCTTGTTAAAGAAGAGATGCTCAATGATAAATTTATTCTTGGTTGTCCACAAAGCCCAACACAGAGTAGCAAACCCCAACCAGAATAAATGTTTGTTTTGGCCCTGGAGCCCAAAGGTAAGCACATGGAGCTCTGCAAAGAAATTTGGTTCCTAGGATACCCCCATCTAGGACCTAATGCAACATCAGGCCATCTTGGCCAAGACACATCCAAAGAAAATATTGTCGGAATCTGGGCTCCGGCGACCCAAGAAAGGTTCGAACACTGGGGTGTGCTTGAAAAACCACACCAAACTCTAGTTCTCTGCCCACTGCCTCTCGACGGCCCTACGGCGTGCTTGAGCGAAAAGGAAGACGAACAACAAACACAACAGTTTACCCAGGTTCAGGCCACCTTGCGGTGTAAGACCCTACTTCTGTTTTGTGGTAGATTGCCTCGCGAGGGAGGATGAATATGAGTGTACAAGGAAGATGAGCTGCCTCGGGAGGGCTCAAGATTCGACCCTCTCTATGGTGGCATCTAGCCTATACTTATACTGGCTTCGGTCCTCTTCCCCCAAAATCTCTAGGCAGGCAGTGTTGCCAACGGCCAATTTTGAAGGAGGAAAGAAGTACATCCTATCCTGACTAAATGTGGTCTTCGCCTGCCAAAGCTTCCTGCCATGACGCGGTGGTGGGCTCGGTGATGAAGTCCGTCCTGGCGAGCCCGCTGTCCTGGTCTTCTTGCACCAAAGTGGCAACCTTTGGGGATTTCTTCAGGAACCTGCACGCTGTCCCTGCCTCCTTAGCACGAAAGAGGAAAGCATCCTTATCCGCACCTTCTGGTACGGTTCTTTGCACCGCTCGTCATGGCTTGCGTCACCCACGTGCAGCGCGAGGCGGGCTTGGTGAGCCTAGAGATATCTGCCCCGCGAGGAGCCTTGGTAGGAAGCTTTGGGAGGACGCCCTGCACGAGGCCCTCGGGAGCTCTTGACGACCCTTGCTGACGTTCGCCTGATGAGGCGGGGCCCTCGCGAGGGGTCTTGCTCATGAAGCCTTGAAGCTTGGCTGCGCCGGGCCTTCTGATGGTGCCACGCGATGGGCCGCAGGCAGACGGGCCTGGGTACCCCTAGTCCGAAAGGCCCGATCATAGCCCCCGGGAGAGGGGGCGAAGAGACGTGGGCCCCAACCGCTTGTGGGCCATGCTCGATGTGTGGCGCATAACGGGGCACGGGACGCCCCCACTTTCCCACAGTGCCTCGATAATCGCTCGTCTGACATAAAGTTGGTCAGTGTTGGTTATGCGACCATCATTGCTTCCCACGCACCTGTCCTCCGTATCATTCCTTCTCGGGCAAGCATGCTTCTCCTCTAGCAGACACGTGCAGCTCTCGTTCCATTGTGCCGCCGTGGCACCGCTGGGCAAGAAGGGAAAGGCAGCGGCGGTGGCAGACAGCCGAGCTGGACTAGAGTCTGCCTTCAGCCGGTCCATAGTGCTCAATCTCGAAGGGCTCGACAAGGTCGGCTCGATGATCGTGGATGTCTCCAACGAATGGGTGGCGACAAAGATTTGGCCCGCCTCGCGACCTTTAGCTGATCTGGATGCCACCACCATCGCCATTCATCTTCCCGCGATCTTCTCTGGCTTACTCCCCCCGTTCTTGGACTTGTTCAACGCCTTGCTCTCGCACTACCAGGTGCATGCGCTGCTCCTAGACCCAAAATCCTTCCTCCTTCTTTCAGCCTATTCCTTCCTATGTGAAGCCTTTGTGGGCGTGACTCCCTGGGTGGCGCTACTCCGCCATTTCTTCTGCCTCCGGCTAACCGCCACCGATCAGCGCTCTGGATGTGTGTCGCTCTATGCCGTGGGTGCGATGGCCGGTGATGGAATAGACATGGAGATTAACCACAAGGTGGAAGGCTTCACGTGGCAATGCGTGTACATGGACATGGCCCAGTTTAGGCCCCTGCTGGAGACTCCGTCGTCCTCGGTGGTGGCGAGCTTCGGATGGGGGAATGGGAGGATAAATGACCCAAGGCTGTCATGGGTCATAGCGAGGATGGTCGACCTAAGGGCAGCGGGAGTGACAGTGATGATGGTGGTGAGGGAATTTCTATGCCGGCGGAGCGCCCCCCTCTAACGCCAATCCCGCCCAATGTGGACCTTCACCGACCCAAAAGAAACCATGCGGCTCCAAGCAGGCTGCCTGCTCCCTGACACGTTAAGTGGAATTCTCCGAGTCCTGATCGGTGGAGAGGCAAACACGCTCCCCAGGCAAGGGTACCCCCTGTAAAACTACATGAGCAAAGAAGCCTACACGGGGTGGATGCAATGCTTCATCAGTGGGGAATGCTCCCTGAAGGCCATGAGGGGCCCCGGGACAACTCATTCCTCCCAGCCCCCGAGCCAGGGAGCTTCGCGGGTGGGGAGCCTTCAGCTGAAACAGCGGAAGACGACTGCGACTCACCCTGGCAGGCCGGCCGCGGAGGGGAGCCCCGACCAAGGAACAACGCAGGTGTGCTACCCAGGGTGCTGAGGAAGAGGAAGTGGGCCGCAGAGGATGAGTAAGTACATAACCTCCCCCCCCCCTTCGCTACAACCCTGCTGGGTTGTGTAACCTCTACGCCTCCATAGGTCTTCTTCAAGAAAGAGGATAAGGGAGCCCCCATGCCCAGTTGATGCCATTTTGCCACTCACCTCTCCCGGGGCATGCGGGGGCAGCACGCTTCCTCGAGACGCCAAGCCCGGTCAGGGGCGTCGAGTGACTTCCCCGCCTCCTGCCGGGGGTGCAGGGCACGAAACGACCTTGCCCTCATTGCGCGCCGAAGAAAGCCTCAGTCTCGGGGGACGCCACTGGACACTTCGGAGGCACACCACGGAAGCCGCTCCAAGGCAGGCGTCGAGTCGACAAAGGTGGCAGTGATGGCCACTGCCGCCTCCCATGCTGACGTCGGGAATAGCCTTGGCCGCCTCAGAAAGGACCCCAAACTTCCGGGATGCGCCGCCTTGTTTTGAAGGGATGGAGCGGGCGCCGGACAGTCCCCAGCCCCTGATGAACACCATCGAAGCCCCCGGGGCCTCAGGGATTGGCGGGGGTGAGGGGCCCCGCCCAGAACAGGCTCTGGCGCTCGTGAACATCCGAACCGCAATCCAACCCGCGCTCTTGCAGAACGCAGCAAGTGTGCTAGGCCAGCTCGGGGCGGAGCTCCTGGATTCCGAGGCGCAATTTGCTAAGGAGCGGTTGTGCTTGGCGAGCGGGTGGCACCAGGTTGACATCGCCGTCAGGCTAGGTCGCCTTCAACACGAGGCCGCTCACTCAAAGGGAGAAAAATCTATTGCTGAGGCGAAGGAGGCACGTGGATGTGCCGTCCAGGAGGCCAAAATGGCAGACCGGCGGCGTGAAGCCGTAGTGGCCCGCAAGCTGGAGCTGCTAGCTTCGAATGTTGTCTGGGAGCAGCAACACGGAGAGATGTCCTTTCCACCTACGATGTGGGGCTCGCGTTGTGTGAGGCGGACCTCCGGGCCTTCGAGCAAGAGCTTACCCTGACCTCATCCGAGCAGAGCATGGAGGGCGAACGGCTGGAGATCCTAGACCGTGATGTGACCGCTGTCCTGGCTTCTTACGCGCAGCGCATGGAGAAGGCCAACTCCAACTTCGTGGCTAAGGAGAAGAAAATACAAGGGGATGCTAATTCAAAGGTCGAGCAGAATCACAAGGCGCTCGCCAAGGAATAGAATGATAACCTGGCGCTGTAGGAGGGCCGCTTCAAGGCATAGAGCTAGGAGCTGCCGCACACAAGGTTGTCAGAATCATGATTCTGAATCGGATCGGAGCTCTATTGGAAGGATCATAAATTGTAGAATCTTAACTACCAGGATCGTAGAAACATAGATTCTAGAGACTAATATCATAGAATCAGAGGGGTTACTTTCGTTCATAAAATCATAGAATCATAAAACAAAATCGCGATCTTGACAACCTTGGACGCACGAGATTGATGTCCTCAAGGAGCTGCTGACTGAGGCAAAAGGGTGCCAAAAGGCCGCGTTGAATGCCCAGGCCGTAGCCGAGGACGAACTGGCATCGCTTCAAGAGCAGGTGGGGAGCGTCGCGTCCCTTATGGAGCGTGCGAGGGATGAAGCGAACCAGGCTCGGGGGCGGCATCTCACGCGCTCCAAGATGTTCTGAGACCTCAAGTTGCGAGCTCGCCGTGCCCTGGGCTCCATTTGCAAGGAGGACATCTCCAGCCCCCTCGTGCCCGACGTTGCCGGCTACCTCGCCTTCTTCACCAAGGATGTGGAGCGCCTCAAGGGTGGTGCATAGAAGTTGGGTATGGTCATAGAAGAGGAAATCCGTGACCTTCTCACCAAGGCGCTGACGCGGTCATCAGCCATCTCTTCCGCTCTGACCCCTACTTCGACTATGAGGCCGTGACAGCCCCCGTCCC